TATAATGAGACAAATTTTATTTTTGTCTACAGTTAAGGTAGTAAAATATTGATAAATATTGACACATGATTTCATCATGATACCTGCGTGATATATATGTTAGGAACATTTTATTACGTTGTAAATATTTTAAATATCTTATAGGCACAATATATCTTAGAAACTCACCACCTTACATTTTGATAAAACCAGCGAGCTCAGAATTGAAATTGAAATTGAAATTTATTGAAAAATAACAGATTAACAATTAACAATAAAAGTTATAACCAATTAGATTGATTGATCTAGTGATGCCCACACTAGGCAATGCCTGTATCGTGGGCATCGAAAATAGCAGGAAAAATATATAGTAATTTTTATACAGTTTTTTATATATCGGAACTAACTGTTGCGCGCAACTAAACCTCGTGAATTAAGAAAATAATAAAAAATATAGCTCCTATGTTGCTCTTAGATAAATAACTTTTCTAATGGTGTAAGAATTTTTGAAATCGGCTCAGTAGTTTTTAACGCAAATCGAATATATACAAAAATCCAAAAATACAAATCTTTTTTCTTTATCCTTTCAGTTTTTTTTAATCTCCAGTATATGCGTTTGTAAAGTATCCTTTCGTCCACAATGAAACGGAAATCTTGCGAAACCAATATCGTACTTTCGTCGCAAGTGTCGCGTCCAAAACACAACATCGAACCGTCGATACAACTATTTCGGCCATTACAGGGATAGGGGTTATACTAACAAAATATAAATTGGACAGTTTTACTATGCCATATTGAATATGAGGGCAACAAACATGTATGTAGCGGGCAAATATGATGACCATGATATTTGCATGATGTCGTCGACGCATACCTGTCTACAAACCTCTGTAACGTCGTATTACGTTAATTGCTTAACGACTAAAATCCGTTTCGAATATCTACATCGTCTTTTTACGAAGGGCCTCAGTGGTCAAAAATATTAATAACTTGTAAATCTCCTTGTTTTATTCGATTTTGTGTCAGTCCTTAGACATAGTCCTTTCCTTTTGCCCTCAGAGGACATCAAATGTAATTTGTATAGTATAAAAGAAAATCGTGGACAGCCGGAAGAATGTAGCAAATGGAAACATTCGATCTAATCACAAGAGACCGGTTTCGTAGTTGCGTCCGCGCTGCCGCCAAGGTGACCATAAACATTAATAATGTAGGATAACATAACTAAATACTGTTTACGAGATACACTTTTTTTACTCTATTTTATTTGCATACATGCTCCTATTTCAACCAAGCAAATTGTATCTTCGTTGGCGAATAACCCTTCCATAGAAATGCGACTAAATTGCCTTTAATTAACTAAGTGTTGTTTGTTACGTTAAAATAATTAAAGCTATCGAAAACTTGTTTGAATATTCCAAACATAGGTTAGAAAATAAATACGTACTAATAAATTACGGCGTTTTATTACAAGAATATCACAGATCTAATCACAGTTATTTACAAAATAAACGTAACCTGTCAAATTCCTTCCAACAATTAGTTAATTTGATTTGCTATTACAATTGTTATCATTAGCTTGGCGTTGATGTCCCAGGTTAATTAGTTAATAATTGAAAAAAATCTTGCATATTAAATAAATGTAACAATAGAAAAGACTAGCAGTGGATTTTTAGGAGTTGATTATGATGATGTCATCTGGTCTTACAGCAAACATTTTTGTTTTCCACTAAATCTACTTAATTACAATTCGATTTCTCAAGGAAATTTGATAGTATTTCTGCTAAGATGTTTAGAATTAACGCAAAAACATATCCGATAAGTTGAGTACCGTGTGGTGTCCGCGTGTTGTCGCACCGCTCCGGCCGCGGCCGCGCTCACACCGTCGCTAGCCACCAAGTAGACCACTGCTTCTATTACAAATATATTTATAATCAAAACAATATATCGATATATATTAGGTACAGTATATGAAGCACCACGCGTGTGTGAAAGGTGAAAGTGAGATTGTTGAAAAGTTGTGCTCCTAAAGTGTTGTTATTTCGTAATAAATTCGGAAGGCCCATGCCGGAGCCCGCTCGCCTTCAAACTTAATTGGCAATTCCTCATGCCGGTGAGTTTCGTAACATTTGCCAATAATCGCCTACGGCCTCTATTTACTTAATTATAGATATTTGTCAACGTTATAATGAATGGAAAATAGCTCGTTTGATTGGAAGTATCGCAAAAGGCACGTAAATAAATGTAGAAGTATTATCATCAAAATGTTATTTGTTTTATCATCCCTTTTTGATGTCACCGATAGCTCGATGTGCATGGTGGTGTGCCCACGAATACAAATTCATTGTCTAATCATAGCCTAGTCTATTGCTAATGCATTGCATTTTTTATCTTAGGACACAAATACATTCTTACATACGTTAACAAATACAGTAAAACTACGGACCGATATTATAGTTGTATTTATTTGTATACTTGAATGCGAGAACAAAAAATAAATAAATCAACAGTACTTCAAGTTCTAGCTATGACAACTTTAGATCGATCTGGATGCAACTTACCTACAAGTTATGTCTCCGTGTTTGTAAAAAAGGTGTGTTTTGATATTCCGACAAACTTGTTCTTTAAGAATGGATGGGGATCTCAATGAATAAATTATGTATTTCTTACCTTTTTTATAATATCAATTTCTAAGACGACGCATTCGCAATATTATGTTAACATTTTTTTATTATAATATACATTGAATAATTGTGTCCAATTATCTTCAACTAAAACTAAACTCTGGAACTTTATTTTTCAAGCTTTTAACTGATATTTATTGAATTTTTCTTACAAAATCCATTTACTTGTCACGGAGAAGTGATTATATGAAATAAATATATTACGACGGTGTCATCGGCCGCCGCAGGCTTCATTCTAGAATACGGAGAATTGCATCATCACGACAAATTCCCAACTTGACGACATTCAAACATCCATGAGATTTATTATGTTTTAATAACTTATGAATAAAAAATATATATATCGACGAATTGAGTACCTCCTTCTTTTGGGAAGTCGGTCAAAAATAGACATACTTTACGTTTGCCGAACATAAGTAATCATAAAAAACTTATCCTAACTTCAAATAATGCAAGAACCTTTATTGCGGTATTCACTTATATCAGTTTAATGAGCTTATTAACAATATATACTAACAAAAATGAAACCGGTGTTTAGTATATTTAGAATTCTTGTCATGTCCACTTTCGTATCGATGACAAAATAATTATTCAGCAATTATGTAAAATCGGCGCCTCGTCTCCGACCATATTAAAACAAAACGCACTACAAAATGTCGAAGTCCGCTCCTTATCTCTATAAGTTTGATTATAACACGATATAACAATGCTCTCCTTGTATGTAAAGTACGTCGCAGTAAAAGTGTAAACTGGTATAACTGAGTAACGGGTAAAAGATGCTTACATCAAAAAGTTACCCGTTATGTTTATCTGTGCGCCGGTTACACTTGCGAGATACTGAATTAATTGTTTTGTTTTATAAATACTTATGTATTTGTCAATATTGGCATAGATACGTATTGTTTTACGACTTCGATTGTAGCTTAATGGCCGCTGGGTGAACTGTGCGGGCGGCGCTGCTCGCCATCCGGCATCTAATTGCTCCAAGACGATTGCTCGCTGATAACGAGCGTAACTATGTACTTACATGTATTGACTATTAAAACATCAGTTTTAATATATTTCACTGCTTGTAAAAATCAAGCATACTTACACCACGGTTCATCGTTTGTGTCCATTTTAAACAGACTTTATAAAGTATAGAATAGGCAGTTTAAAAATCACAACGAACAGTAAATTTATTATTTTTTAGCAATTTAGTTTCGAAAAATTCCATATTTATTCCGTTATATCGCGTCTCTACAGTAAAATTTATGCACTAGTGCGGCCGACCTGTCCAAAACAACAACTTGGAGGACGTTCCACATTTTACGTGTTTGTTGATCACCATTTACTTTCCACGCTTATTTATAATATACACAAAGTCTTTGTTTTTTATGAATCGTTTGAATAAATGTCAGTACATATAAGTAAAATATTCCGAATCTTTCAAGGTACAGTCGTATAAGTTCGCAGTGTTACAGTTACAGAAAACATTTGCCTAGCTCCTCTCAACTAACTTAAACTTACATGTAACAAGGAGCGTAAATTATTGAAATTGATCGTTAAAAAACGTTATTTTGGGCGTTTTAAAAAAATGAGAAACGTGATTTGTACTTCGGAATACTGTACAACATTCTTCAACCTTTATCTTTGCAAGCTACGCTTTGTAAGCAAACGTTCCTTGGAACACCGCGTACGACGCTAACTGTACTTATAACGACAAAGCCCATTAAAATTTAATGATCGTTGGGGCCAGTAGCATTAGTCACTACGAAAGGTCCATCGGTTTCTAAATAATACATAAACGACTTAATTATATAAGTGCAGGTCAGTTTCGAAGAATATTTTTTGTTTTTATTCAATTACATTATCGGAGTGCTTCACTGGAAACTAGGCTTATACCATATAAAGCATCAGCGCCGAAATCATTTAAAAACATTAATTTTATTGAATCAGATAAAAGCATTTTTACTTTTATCCGACAGACGGCAAGATAAAACTTTTGGCGGGCATTTCCTTAACATTGTAACCTTTTACAGTCGGTACAACTTGACCGATTTTGAAAAGTGAAGTGTCATTCGTTTCGGATTTATGCCAGAGACGTAGTTATCGAGA